GAATGAGATGACTTTGTCGTAATCTACCATTGCGATTAAAGGTTTTGTTCATGCTATCCAGCTTGTGATGGTTGAGGCTGTGCCTACATTGTTAGAGGTTATTCAAGATAACTGTACATACGAGTCTGATCCGATGGAGAGTGGGATAATGAAGAGCCGAGGGTTAAAAAAACAAGTCTAAGTCCTTCTCATGCCAGAGATTTGCATGATGATCCTATGGTAAATATTACTAGCCAGCTAATTATTTGGTAGTTTGTATTTGATTTTTTTAGACGGTTACAAAATAAATTAGCATCTATTTTGTCTCGTTTAGGTTAAATGTTATCTTCTGTCTTCTAATTTGTCTTTACATGTTGCAGACTGCTGTCGATTGCATAATACCTGATGATGGTGAAGAAGAATTGGATGAAACAGTGCTAGGATGGCCCGGCGAGATAAAAGATTCTAAGGTTGATAACATGATGCGTCTTATCAATGAGGAGAAAACTTTTTGTAGCTCAATGTTTATTGGTGGCGCTACTAAGGCTGATGTTGTTCGTATAATCAAAGAGGCTAAAGAGAAAAACGCCTAAGAAAAACAAAAGAGAGCTATAGGTAGTACTGATATGGCAGAGACAAGCATTGGTGGTGGTGTAGTCTCTGGTTTGATAGCTAGTGATGTTCAACAGATAATGGATGCGGTGGCTAATAAATTGAAAGGAGAAATTATAAGAGTAGAGGCGAAGGTGAATGATACTTTTGTGAAGATGGATGAGCTCAAAACTGCATTCTCATTATTGAAGACGGACATTACACTTGAGGTCACTCAACAGATTCTGAAAATGAAAACTGAAGTCCTTGATGGTATCATTGCGTTTACGGACAAAACAACTACCAATCTTCAGAGGCATAATACATTTGGAGAGAGGAGCAATGTTAATGATGCCAATAGGAAACAGGCGCAATCTGCTATCTCACCAGGGTATGAGCATCCGGACAAGGTAAAAAATTTCTTCCATCTAGATGTTGATGTGCCATTGCAGCAGTACTTGGAGATCTGAAAACTTTGCTTTTGGATACCGTATGTTTGATTTTATTTATTATTCTTGATTTAGTGTGGCACAAAATTAATTGACTATTTGTTTTTTGATGTTATTTTAGGCTGATGCCAATGGTAATGGGAATGGTCCCAATGATGGTAATTGTTCCGAGGTAGGTGACAATACCATTCTTCACCATCGCATATCTGATGTAAGATAAAACCTACATTATTATGTAATGTCTTGGTTAAGTTATCCTCTAGCTATAGCCACTCTAATTCTCTTACGTTTTACTTACTTAGGAGCCTTTTGAAAATGGTAAATCTGTTGATGAAGAAGAGAATGATGGATTAGGCAACACAGAAAATCAGAATGAGGTGTGTTTTGGTTATATTTCTTACATACAATGCCATACTTACTATTAATCAATCTTAATTATTGCAGTCTATTCAGCCGAATTTAGTGTTTCCCCCATCATTTTCTCTTGGACTTACGCAAGAAGAGAATGCTAAATCTCTGGAGGGTGCTGGTTCTGTTGAGGATATAAATAAAAGCGACGATATTGTTTTAGCACAATTTTGTCGTAAAAGCAAGAGACAGCAAACTATCCCTGCTATTCTTGTTGAGAACTACCAATGTGACAAAAGGTTTCTGCAAAGGACAAGGGAATCTCATTTGATGGGGTTCGGAGAGAGTCAAAGGGATGATTATTCTGTGAAGTTTGGGAAGCTAGTTGAGAAACTGAAAAAGGCCTCGTAAGTTATTTCTTTACTATGTCTAAATAATACAAAGTAATGGTTTGATGTTAAGGCACTGTTAATATGCTGTTTAATCGGTATATAGAAATATAGTTTACGGAAAGAACTTGGTGTGTAGGTTATGTGATGTGTAGCCGGTTATTTACATTATTAGATATACCTAAATTGAGTTAGTCTCTATTCTCTATCATGCATAAATAGCTGGTTAAATTGGTTAATAGTTGGTTAGTATACATAGGCATGAGAATGATCAGTTATGGATGGCTACAAGGATCTATAGCCGGTTATTTACATTGTTAGACATATTAAATACGGTTATTTGGTTCTCTATAATAATGTTTATTTATTTTATTGTATATATTTTGTGATCCAGCACTCTATCCATTTGTGGGTTAACAGTATATATTAAAGATTTTTTTGAAGTTACTGGAAGAACGAGCTCTATGCAACCTAAGGTACTGAGCTTTAAAATTTTAATTGTTGATTGTTATTATGATCACTAAATGGGTTCTTTAATTATGTGTAGGTGGTTGATATGCTTGTTCATCACAGCAGATCTTTGTTGAGTAAACCAGGATTCCAGCTGTCCAAAAAGATTGATTTCTTTGACACAAAGTTTATGACATTTCTTGTCAAAAACTACACCAAGTTTTCCAAGATGAGAAAGAAAGATGGTCACCAGTTCCATAAGAATGTTTTGGAATGTTTCACATGTGACAATGCAAAGAACATT